AGGGAGGGGATCCTTCCCCTCTGCTCAGCCCCGGTGGGACACATCCAGGTGCTGGGTCCAGTCTGGGCTCCCCAGTGGGAGAGAGACCTGGACGTACTGGAGAAAGTCCAGTCAAGGTCCATGAAGGTGATGAAGGAGCTGGAGCATCTTCCACATGAGGAGAGGGTGTTTGGGCTGGAACTGTTCAGCCTGGAGAAGAGGAGGCTCACGGGGATCCTCCCCATGTGTAGAAAGACCTGATGGGGGGTGTGGAGAAGGTGGAGCCAGGCTCTTCCCAGTGGTGCCCAGTGACAGCACAAGAGCTGACGGGCACACACTGAAATGCAGGAAACCCCCTCTGAACATAAGGAAAACACAGATTTAGTTTTTTCCTAAAGCTGAGGGTGGTCAAACACTGGCCCAGGCTGCCCAGAGAGGTGATCGAGCAGGCGATGGACTAGACCATCTCCAGAGGTGGCTTCCAGCCTCTGGCCTCTCTCCCTGCCTGGTGCCCCTGTGCCATCAGCCCAGGAGCTGGCTGCAGGCTGCTCACAGCTTCCCACTGGCAGGATGCTCTGCCAGGCCTGGGGGCAGGTTGGGATGCTGGCAGGGCTGCTTTTGGCAGTGTCCAGCGGGCTTTGACTCCTGCCATTGCCCCTCCAATGTCCCTCCCTCACGCTGGGAGTTTTCGAGCTTCCTTTCAGGCTGACATCTTCTTGATTTTAAAAGTCCCTTTTATAATTCCCTGGTCACAGTTCAATCCAGCTGATGGTCATCTTCCTCCTTAACATAACCAGTTTGTGGCAACCCCCCTTCAAGGAAGTATCTCCTGTTCATTACCACCACCTTATTTTAGCAGGGGTTGGGTTGTGTGAGACCTCCAGACCAGTCCTGAAGTAGGAGTGTCTGGGGCAGGGTGTATGGGGACTCGCTGTCTCTTGACAAACCCATCACTTGTTCTTCCTCCCTCCTCAAAAACACTCAAACGAAGGCAGGCTTCCCTGCAGGGTGGAGACTTCTGACCCTGAAGCCCAAATGTCTCTTGGGGTCTCAGGTGGCTTGGCTCGTCCTCTGCCAGCCCCAGCTCCCCATGGTCCCTGGTGCACCGTAGCTGTGGCCACAGCAGAGCTCTCCAGGACACTCAGCACTGCCCAGAGGTCCCAGGGCTGTGTCGACCCTGATCTCCACCCAGCCCTGCCAGCGCCACCCCTGTAGGTCCCCTCTGCAGAGGCCTCCTTGGGATGTCCTCGGGTGGTTTGCTGCTCCCTGTTGGTGTTCCAAGGGTCCGTGGAGGTTTCCCGTGGCGCTGCCTGCAGCCTGCCCACGCCAGGCAGGGGATAACTAAAACCCAACCAGACAGGGTCCGGAGCAACCGCTTGAGCAGAGCTGTGATTCCCTGGTCACTATTTAATCCAGCTGATGGTCATCTTCCTCCTTAACCCTAACCACCTTTGGGCAGGGCCATCTTCTACTAGCTCAGGGCAATCAAAGCCCCGTCCAACCGACCTTAAACACTTCAAGAGATCCACAATTTCTCTGGGAAACTTTTTTACCGCCCTCAGTGTAAAGAATTTCCTCCTTACGTCGACGGCATTGGCAGCAAAAGCCGGTCCCCGTTTTCTGGGCAGAAAAACACATGGATCCACTGAACGCTGTGGAGAAACGCCACAGGCTTGTCAGGTTTGACTTGAGCAAAGTAAAGCAACATGTTTATCACGCCCTGGATAGAACAAGAACCAGAGCTGAACAACTTGCTCATCTGGAGAAAACCAGCCAAAGGATAAGAACGCTGGTATCTGCTTCTGCCTCCTACAAACCTTGCGAGGGGAGAAGGGAAAAGGGAGCCTTGTGGCGGCTGTTTCGGCTAAAGAGGGAGGGACCAAGCAGAAAAACAGCTTCAGCACAACGCTCCGAAGGCTGCGATGCCCTGGAGTGAAACCTTTGCTTAATTATTTAGAAAATTAGTATTACAGCTAACAGCCCTGCTAATGTTCATGAGAACTGGAGATCGTGCTATACGTACGTGACTATGTCACCCAACTCTCCGCCTAAATCGTGCTCTGCCTAACTCATGGGAGGGGAAACAAGGAATTAAGAGAATAAAAAGAGGAGAATAAGGGGGGAAAATGGGGAGAAAGGGACTGAAGACCTAGAAGAGATGGTTGACAGGCTGTGCTCTTCTTCCACCCAAAGTAGGGATGCCTCCTTGGTGAGAACACCCGGGAAAACTGGGCCGGCGTTATTCTAGGATGTCAGCACCACTGCGGCGAGTGCATGTCCCACCAGCAATTCTGTTACTGTTACGTCTGTCGCCTCAATAAACGACCCATCTTTGCAACCGCGCGAAACTGGATTCAGTGAACGTCCCATCCTCACTGCGAGGGCGACAACCGCACAGACACGAGGCGCGTGCCGGGTGTCCTGGTTTGGGCTAAACCAGAACTAATTCTGTTTTAGTGCTTTAACTTTTCAGTTAAGTCTCTTCTAACTAACGGCATTTTCTGAAACAGCAGCCTGTTTTTCCAGACAGTGACTGCTTCTGGCAG